TTAATAACTGATGATAGTGGCATGACATCTTTCATCTTCACTTCCCCTGTCAGGCATTTGCTGCAACCGACGTCACCGATGCTCCACCAAGTGCTGCTGATCAAAACACAGAGGTATCACAATCCTGGTGCTACTAAAGGCCTGCTCACCCATCAGACCTTTTTCTATTTCATTCAAATAGTTTAAGCAACCAGCAGGATTTGTTTGTCTATTTTTTTTTTCAGGAAGAGGATTTTTTCGAGTCGGTGGAAGACACTGTCGAGATGGATGAATTAAACCAACATGAATGCATGGAAAAGCTATGTGGTCTTCTGAAACATCTGAGTAAGAACAAGATTGGCATAGAATCTGAGAAGGTAACTTCTTTTGTTTATTTGACTTATTTTGTAATTTATTTACCCATTGATTAATCGTCTTCTCTAGTTCTTTGTTCCACCCTCTATCCTTAATCCCCTCCATCCTCCTTTTTTTCTTTCTTTCTTTCTTTCTATTCTCCTTCCAGCCTTCCTTCCTCCCTCTCTGCATTCCTCCCTCTCTGCATTCCTCCCTTTTTTCCATCTCTTTTCCATTCTTTCATTCCTATCTTTTTTTTTCTTCTATCCTATATTCAGTCTCCAATCTGTGAATATCATTTATTCATTCATTTATCTATCCATCCATCCATCCCATCTCATCCATCCATCCATYCATTTCATTTATTCCTACCTTCTCCTTCATCTTCATGTTAATTGTCGTATTTACCTTTTAGGAAATGCCCGGTTGGATGAATGCCTTACTGAAAAAGTTTTCCAGTAGTGACACCCATATCAACATTCAGCTTTTCTTGGCCAAACTGATCGTAAACGAAGCCAAGGTAAAGTGTTTAATCGTAATCATAAATAAGCCTTAACATAGTTTGTAATGGTGACCCTGTTGCTCGTAGAGCTACCTCTTGTTTTTGGCGTCCCCTGGGGAAGGAAGACAAAAGACTTGACACTAGCACCAGGGTCACCCTACCTTCATGTGAACGGTCTCTCACAAGGTAGGGTCACCCTACCGCAAGGACACTAAACAGAAAAATAAAGTCCTTTACTCTTTCTATCTTTTTTCTTGAAGATTTTTGAACCTTATGCCAAGTCCTGGCTGACACCCCTTATGGAAATGGTCCTCAAAATGTTCCAAGACGAGGGACCAAGTGGCAAGGGCCTCAACTACTTTGTTGTCGATGTACTAGTTACCATGCTCTTCTGGTCAACCAAGGCCATTCCCGAGGTGAGTGATGTTGTTGATGAAGTAAAGGATAATGATGAGGATGATGTGGATCTTGATGTTGATGCTACTGTTGGTTGTTGAGAATAAATGCGCATTGTGATACTGCAGGACTAAGAGAAAATGAACTAAGTGAAGGAATCTCTGGAATTCATGCTTGTAACCTTCATAGGCACCGTTTGATGCTATTTTTAGAATCACCTTTGCCATAGTTTGTTTTTGTACCAGCGCACTACTGCGCTTGCTCAACGCTGTTTGCTTACGCCTTTTTTGAATAACAACAAAAAAAGCGGCAAACAGGGTAGAGCGCGTACAGAAAAACAAACGACCAAATAAAAGAATCTAAAAATAGCATCAAAGATTCTAAAAATAGCATCAAATGCTCATGATGGGGTGCGGGGGTACTTTTCTTAGTTCATACTTTCTTGGCAGTACTGATGATGCACGATGATAAGGATGATGATGTTGAATATGGTGGTGGTGGTGGTGATTGTGGTGATCGTGGTGATGATGATGGTGGTGATGATGATGATGATGGTAATGATGATGATGATGATGATGCTTGCAGTGGAGGCTGTGATAATGATGATAATGGCATTGATGTTCTTGGTAGTGTTGATGATGGTGATGCATGGTGATACATGGTGATGCAAGGTGAGTGGTGCTAATGATGATACATGTAATGCATTTCTCCACGATTTTCACTTCCTTCTTGTCAATTCACTACTTCCTTCCTAACAACAAATCTTCACTTCTCTCAGCCATCCTTTTATAATTTTCCAGGATAAATACCTCGCTAGTAAACTAGTYGAATCAGTGATGGCCAGGACTCACCACGAGAATAGATCAGTCTTCAGAAACAACCTAGAAATCGTAAAGACCATGGTCGAAGTATGGAAAACAAAGATCGAGGTTCCGACCAAGTATGTACAATCCGGCGATCAATGAACCTCTTTATATTGGGCCAAGAGAGCATAAGAAAGGGAAGAGGGAAACTTCTTAATATTGCGCGCGCCATATAAATTCGCAGTTCGGGTATTATAGAGCCAATCAACCATTCAGAAACAAGTATTTTTATAGAAAGATATAACTAGCTAAAAACTAGTGTGAGCTGCGTCGGTGTTTCTAATGAAACAGTAATGATGAAAAGGTAAATTATACACCGTGAAAAGATGAAAAAACTTACTGACGTTTCGGACGCTAGTCCTTCGTCGGAGTAAAAGAGAAAGACGTGGTAGAAAGGAGTGTATATATGATAGAATAAGACAAAAGAAACCAATGAGAGCAAGGTAGGCAAGGAAACAAAAACAAACAATCAAAAGACAAAAGAAAAGGTTCGTTGAAAGTAAAGCGTTCATTAATCCCGTTGGGACTAAGAGTGCCCAATAGVTGAATAAGCCGCATTTCTTTGGTCTTGCGACATTTTTATAGAACTGGTGTGTTATTATATTAGAATTTTTACCTTATTCTTYTTATTWATTATTATTATTATTCTTTTTMTTATTTTGTCTAGAGTGATCTACGAACATTTATCTGGTTCTGATCCAAACAAGAAAGATAATGCTACCGGTATTCAACTCCTTGGTGTTGTTTTGGCCAATGGGCTTTCTCCTTTTGCAAGAGGATGCTCTATAGATGAAAACAGGTAATGATATTCTGCACCTTTGWGATAAGTGTCTGCACATTGGTCCGTAGTGGTAGATAGTTGGTTGTTTTGAATGATTCGTGCATGGTTTTGTATGGCTGTAAAAATCTCACAGCACAAACGAGTCGCCGAGCAACTTGATGRTAAATGATGCTACAATGTAGTACTTGGGTAAAAGAAATCAAGAATTCAGGAGAAAAAATCRTCTGCCCTTTCAATTTTTCCCTTCCAGGTTCTACACAAAACTAGTGAATAACCTCTCGTTCAAGTACAAAGATGTCCACGCTGCTTCTGCTGAAGTTATAGGAATGGCTTTGAAACAACTAACAAGTGAAAGTATGGTAAGAAATGTAATGTCTGCCAACAATATGCGCTGCTCACATCTTTATCTCCAAGACAAAGGCATCAGAAACAACAAGGATGTCAGACTTCGGGATACTGAGGTCAGATCGATAACCAAATAAACACAAATCAAATTGCTTTAGATTTCAGATAGTCAGCTTCCAGATATGGTAACATCAAAGCTGTTGTCTTTGCTTTCATCTACCGCTCAAGACACGAGTAAATTCATCACGTGTGTGCATAAACTACAGATAAACTACCCTCCAATCATGGACAAGTAAGTTTATAACATTTGGTTTAACAGATCAAAAACCAATAACTTCTCTGTTTCCAATATTTTGATTAAACTTTCTTCCATAGACCTCTATTGGTTTGTTGTAATGTTTTTTTAAATTCAGACCATGTGTCATTCCCATAGAATAAGATTGTCTGAGTCGTATCCATGTTCATGTGTCTTATCATGCGCAACCGTCAAACAAAGCAATCATATTCTAGGGAATGACATGCGGTCTGAGAAACATTACGCCCAAAGTAAATAGGTATAATATTACAGCTGTAAAAAATAAATTCCTTGCAATAGAATCATGTAATCGAAAAGATGAAGCAAGTGTGATCTAATTGGCTAATGCGGTTCTCCATTCAAGTCATTGCAACTATTACGGCAGCCCTTCAAAAGAATTGCGAGATCGTTATGCTATGCCTGACAATTTGTGTTTGATAATTTGCGAGAAAGGAATGCCTTACTAATGCCTTGTGTAACAGTTTATTTAATGCGACTGAATTTTACACCTTGTTCAGGTTCATCAGCCGTATCCTCTTCATTCTACCAACCGTCCATGGTACTTTCAAGACACTCTGTTTGGAGATTATTCTATCACGTGCTAGTAACATACAGGATTTGATGCAACAGCTGAGGAACAAGGGATTGAAGGAGATGCTTCTTCATAGGTATGAGATTTAATCCTTTTTAGGAGGTATGATTGATAGCCATTGACCTCCCTCTCTGCATGTGTGTGCACGATGATGCGATGATATTTCATGATGATTACATTTTTCTAGGGATGAAGCGACACAACTTGCGTTACTGAAGATTATCCACAGTCTGCTTGAAAAACTAACAATGCGTGACATAGAGTATGTCATGCCATCCATCACAGCTATGTCCACCAATCCCAGCACAGCATGTCGTGACATCATGTATGACATCCTTATATGGATATATGACACCTACAGGTACGTAGTATTACATCAACAGAAGCCCTATAGAGGTGGCCGTTACGGTGTCGCTTCYGAGCACTGATCTTGCGCGCTGTGATTGGCTAAACAATTACCGTAACGTTGCCGTGTGCTTTGAATTTTTACACAAGAATGAAATCCGTGCCGGGCATGGCCGTAATTTTCCCATATCCCAGCATTCTGATTGGTTAATCACTATAGTCTCTCGCTGTGATTGGCTCACGGGATATTGGCAACTCCATACCATGACCGTGGCGGTCTCTTAGTTTTTTTCATTTCTGGTCGAAAAACTGTTCATAAAATTTCTTGTCGTATCATTCCATCTATAAACTCATTGCGAAGTCACTGGGAAGCGGTCAAACTCGTTTGACAGAGACACATGTTTGTCCAATGTTATTTTCATGGTTTTTAAGATCTGACAGTTCGTTCAGTGAAGAGGAAGGTTCTGAAGCAATACTCGCCACAACCAAAGATTACTTGCTGCGAGGTTTGGTTGATGAAAATAAAGAACTKAGGTAATGAAACTACACTCTTTATCAAGAGTACACACAGTATTCTCGTTTCGACAAAGAAGGTTTTGATGGTAGTTTTGATGGCATTTCCATGACATTTTCATACGCACTTGCCCTTGAAAATAACCCCTGAAAATGTCATGGAAATACTTTGATTGACRTCCATCAAAATCTACATTGTCGCGACTTTGTGCTATTGGAGCACCTGCAAAAAGACGGCAATGAATTTAAAATTAATGCTACCTTTTTATGAACTTTCCCTGTAGGTTGAAGCTTCAGAACTTCTGGAGTGATGAGACACGTTTGCCTAGCACCACCCTGGAGAGGCTCGTGGATGTCCTGCGTGCCATGTATTCACCAAACACAGAATCACAGGTTTGTAATAATGAYGCTTTATTTGGTTTGATTTCTCATATAGTTTAGAAGAAAATTTCCTGAGTGCGCAGAACAGTTTTTTTTTGGGCTGGGCTGATGACAGGCGGGGCACAGCTAACTCACAGTACAAATTGGAATTTAGCGTGTTAGGTTTTGCTGAGGGAGGGAAACCCGAGAGAACCCAAAGAAAAACCCTTGAATCACTCTACATGTGATGCTGGTTATGCTGGGTTATTTCCGATTTCTGAATTTTAACTTGTTCTATTTTGTGATTGTTTTGATAGTATCTCAGCTACACTACCAACCTGATTCTGCATCTCACATCGCTGAGCCCTGATTTCAACAGGCTCATGTTTGAACAACCGCTTTCTGAGTGCAAGTTTGAGGTAAGTGATTACTTTGAGAATGATCAGGATCAATGGGGTATCCTACTCTGATGCTTTAGGGTAGTCATGCTTAGTTACACACACACTCTCTTTTTCTCTCTTAAGAACCTTGGGAGAGAGCGTAGCGAGACAGTGACGACCTTAAAAGTGGCTGCAAAGAGGGGTCAATTTCGTTAATCTTACACTCTCCACCGTACTTAATTTCCATCAAATAGTTTTTTATATTAGTAAAGATTGGATGCGTATAGAGCAAATTACGTTTGACTGTGAAAAACTCACAGACGCCCTGTACCGTGATCATGATGCCACAGTATCTGAGTGTTTTTATTGGCTGAGCAACATCTCGTGCGCTGTGATTAGTTTAAAGAATTTTCATACAGTGACTGTGCTGAGTTTCTTTAAGCTTCATCATCATACGAAATCTGCTCTGTACTACTTTTGATGATGGTAGGTGCAATAAGTTTCTGATTGGATGGATTCTTGMACAGTGATTGGCTCAACTGATGGCATTAATTTTGTAGCTTTAMCGTGCCATGTGCTATGGAATGTTACACTTATGCAATATCTTGCTTTTCTAGGACTATCCCATCGATTACTCGTGGCAGCAGCGTCATCTCACCATGACMCCCCTGTTTGCTGCTACTCAAGGAAGCACACAAGCATCAGGAWTGAGTCAAAGTCAGGGTGGGTCATCTATGGAGGCTGGTTTCGTTAGAGCAACACAAACGAATGACTTTACGCMAACACAGGATCCAGGGAAATCTCAGGCTTTTGATTGGCTCAATCCAACTAGTCAGGTTTGTCTTTTTTTATACCTCTGTAATGACTGTCCAACTGTTTGTTTGTCTGTCTGTCTGTCCCTCTGTTGCTCTTTCTGCATGGGTGTACTATCTGCTGGTAGAGGTCTTTACTAAGTTTGGCAAACAAGATGCAATGCATTATGGTCTAGCTTGAGTACTAACAGCACCATATAATAAAGACAGTGAATATAAGATGTTTGTRCCCAAGCTAGACCAGAATGCACCATGCTCACTATGAGGCCTATGATTCTATATACTAATCAATAACTTATATCACACTTGTTTCATTCCATTAGGGAGAGAGCCAATCTCTACGCCAGTCCTTCACGGTTGGAACATCCGAAACCCAGTCTTCTCTATTGTTTGCTACCAAATCAAGGGACGCATACAGGAGAYGTAAGCCTGTACCCAACGACTTTGGTTCCCAGCGATTAGGCTCTTCTCAAGCAAGCACAGCCTCTGAAACTGATGGAACACAAGGTATGTCCAAATACCAAAGTACTTGCAACTGATAACGAGTCCCTATTGTCCAAGCAATATTATTGCCCTGAGATGCTTACAAGATGTTGTGTTTTCCTTTTCCTTAGATTCAAGTGAACAAAAAGAAATTTTGAGGCTGAAAAGACGATTCCTGAAAGACGATACTTCGAGTCGAAATTATTTTGCAAAACGTGAAGCCATGAGAAAGAAAATGAGAGAAGTATGGCTTTTCGACATAAATGGAATGCATGTGTGCGAGTTTTGTTTGAAGATCTCATGGGGCATGTATTTAAGAACAGACCCACGTGTGTAAGGGGTCAAAGGGAGAACTTAGAGTATTGCATCTAGAACAGTACTGTTGGAAGCTTGTTAGCGAATCTAATATAGTTTAAAGTTTTTAAGTAAATTTTGTCTCTTTTGTACTTCATTTTTCTCTAGGAAGTGAAAAACCGCCAGCAAGCATCACGTGACAGTCACGTGGTCATGTACAGGAAGTATCGAGCTGGAGATCTGCCTGATATCCAGATCAAACATTGTGAACTTATAGCKCCTCTTCAAGCTGTTGCTCAGGTAGAGTAAAGCTTGTGTAAAGATATTATTACTAATATGAATATATTACATGTACTGAGACAGCCCATTGCTATAAGTGTTATTAATAATAATATTTTACTATTAATCGTTAATCTAGCAGACAGTACCATTACTATAACTAATACTAATAATATCTTGATATTTATCTTTCATCTAGTGTGACAGACCATTACTATAACTATTACTAATAATATCTTGATATTTATCTTTCATCTAGTGTGACAGTACCATTACTATAACTATTACTAATAATATCTCGATATTTATCTTTCATCTAGTGTGACAGTACCATTACTATAACTAATACTAATAATATCTCGATATTTATCTTTCATCTAGTGTGACAGTACCATTACTATTACTATTACTAATAATATCTTGATATTTATCTTTCATCTAGTGTGACAGTACCATTGCTAAGCACCTCTTCAGCTCTTTGTTTCAAGCGATTTTTACAGAGGCTGAACACGAAGGAGAGGCTTGTMTATCAGATCTTCAATCAGCTCTCAACAACATGGTCACCACTTCTACACAATATTTCCCAGCGTTTGTTTCTAGTATCCAGGTAGTTATAAATATTATTAAGATAAAATTATGTTATAAGATGAAAAAAACTTGTTAAATTTTTCTTAGGCTAGGTGCATTCCAACCTTTTTTTTCGATGTTCCCACTTTTCTTCTTTCTTTCTTTCTTTCTTTCTTTCTTCTTTCTAATTTTATTTAATTTTTCCTCTTCCTTTCATTAAGTTCTTCCCTTTTTCATTATTTCCTTGATGATTTCTTACTCTCTACTCGTCTTTTTTTAATTTTCTTTGCCCTTTTTTCCATCTCATTCCTTCCTTTCCAGTGGGGATATCCCATGCTGTTACAAGAGTTAGTTCTGTAAACTACTTTTAACGCCTATCTTCAAACATGTTTCAGTCTATTTGTTTCAACGTGTCCAAACTGACCATCGAACCATCGTCAGTGAGCACCGCTTCTCTGACCAGCCTCCAGCAGCCAATGGGGATCATGCTACTGGAAAAACAACTGCTACAGAATACGGAAGAAGAACCAAAAAAACGAAAACGAGCCAGGGTTGAAGCAGCTCCTCCATCTGGGACCACTGCTACATGGTTGGAATTGGCCAAGTATGTCTGTCTTTCTTTTTGACTGTGTTGAGTGTGTGTCTGWCCTATTTCCCTGTCAGTCAGTGGTTCTATCTATACGTTTGTYAACCCCTGTCTGTTTTGTATGTGTCTGTCAGTCCTATCTGTCATGTCTTCTATCAGTCCATCTGTCTGTCTATTTTCCTGTCGTGTCTATCTAACATTCTGCCCTTTCAGTCTGTCGTTCTGTTGGTCCTGTATCTGTCTGTGTATCTGTCTGTGTATCTGTCAGTCTGACCGCTTTCTTGTCTGATTTCCCACCTGCTATGTTCCCCGTAATCATGTATCTTTATTCATTTGCTTTTTTATGCTATTGGGTAAYAGGTTATACCGATCTATCGGAGAGTATGATGTCCTACAGGGGATATTTAGTGGTCATATTGGTACACAAGATCTGACTAGAAAAGCACTGGAGGCTGAAGCACGGGGCGACTACTCCCAGGCACTCAAGCTGTACAATCAGGTACTGCGATATACTATCATTGCAAATAACGTCCAATCGGCTGCACCCACCAGATGAGTGACTCAACCGACCGACTGACTGACTGACTTGACCGACTGACCAACCTGACCGACTCTACTGACAGACCGACCAACAGACAGACAGACCGACCGACCGACCGACCGACCGACCGACCGACCGACCGACTGACTGACTGACTGACTGACCAACTGACTGACTGACTGATTGACTGACTGATCTACTGACCAACCAACCATCTCAACTGACTGACTGCCATGATTGACTTGAACAACCAAACTACTGATAATCTGAATGACCCCACAGCTGATTAACTGATTGATCCACTGAACCATCCAGCTGATCGACTGAACAACTGACTGATTGACTTGACAAATACTTATTAATTATATTGAATTTGCTTGACTTGAAGGCAATATCCTGCGAGGAATGGCCAAATGGTGAACCACAACAGGAAGAAGAAGATCTTTGGCACGACGCAAGACTTCAGGTATGGAGATATTATCTGTTAAAATTAATAGCTATTTTAATACTCAATACTYATCAACGATATTCTTGATTTCCTCCTTCAGTGTTTTGATCGTCTTACTCAATGGRACAATCTAGACAAGTTTTCAAAGAGCAACATCGATGATGCAGACCCCCCGGATCTGGACAAAGTATGGTCAGACACCTTTTACCAGGTAAAGTAATTCAGTTTATGTACAACCTCTATTAAGCGACCACCCTCGGRGAAATGTCACGTGGCYGCTAAAWAGAGGTTGGCCATAGAGTTATTCAYATGAAATAAACTTTTTATCCTGGGATCATCTATGTCCTTTGATCAGCCTTCCATGTTCATGCCAAGTCACACAGACTAAGATCTAACTTACAGTAGCGTATGTACATAGATATGACAATAGTTTTGTTTATTTGTTTTAAAGGAAAACTATCTTCCATTTATCATCCGAAGCAAGCTCAAACTTTGCTGCAAAGGAGAAGAAAGCACTGACTTTATTCAGTTCTTGAATCGTGCTGTACAAGTTGATGAGAGAAAAGCATTTCTTGAGGTGAGATGGGAAGGCAGTTAAGAAAACCACTATGCGCTTTGAATAATTGGGTTTGTGTAATAGTGATGATGGTAATGATGATGATGTTGATAATAATGATGGTGATGATGATGATGTTGATGATAATGATGGTGATGTTGATGATAATAATGGTGATGGTAATGACTTGGTGATGATGATGGTGGTGATGATGATGATAATGATGATGGTGATGATGATGATGTTGATGATAATGATGGTGATGTTGATGATAATAATGGTGATGGTAATGACTTGGTGGTGATGATGGTGGTGATGATGATAATGATGATGGTGATGGTGATGGTAATGATGAAGTTGTGATTGTTGATCTTGATAGATGGTGGTGGTGGTGGAAACGATAATTATGATGATGATTTGATGAGGATGATGATGGTGATGGTGTTGATGGTGGTGGTGACGGTGTTGGTGTTGATGATGGTGATGATGATGATGACGATGACCATGTTGATAATAGTGATGATGCTGTTAATACCGATAAGCTGGTAATAGTAATGATCGTTGTGTTATCAGAGCCGTCACAGTGAAGACTTGGCGCTGCTACACATACTGCAGGGTGATTATGACAGAGCCAGATATTATATAGCCAACTGTTTCCAAGGATTTCTCATGGTAAGTGCTCTCCTCTAATCAAAGTCAGGGCATGACTAACTCACAGATCGAATTGGAATTTAGCTAGTTATGTTTTGTGGAGAGAGAAAAACCTTCAAATCAAGGGAAAACCTCTAGTGTACTCAAATGTGATGCCAATCGTTAACCTGCTGCTACATCATACTTGTTTTCCAAGGCACGGCACGTCTGTRCTGATTTGTATAATCGGCGTTCATTATCTGTTTTCCAGGACTGGGCAGCACTTGACTCTATGATGATAGCAAGTCGATCATCAAAGCTACAGTCTTTACAAAAAATYACTGAAATGCAGGAGTTCCTGGAATTCATTGCTAACGAAGGTAAAGAATTACTCGCATTCTGCAAAAATGATTATTACAATAGATATGGGGGGAAAACATGCATGAAAGAAATGAAAATCAAATATATAAGGAGGAAAAAGAAAGAAGTCGATGCTCTATGAGAGCACATTGCACACACGCGCACTTTCCGTTGCTTCATTCCTATCTAAAATAAYGGTTATCRTAATTTGTATTTTATAAAAGAAATAAAAAACTTGCTTGCTGTGCTGTGTGCAGTYATAAAKCACTTGGGGATTGGCAGAACACTYGASAAGTGTCCAGAAGCACTCCACTACGYGTCTTGCTTGTCTTAACACTTCTCACCTCCGCGTGCTTTAGGACTGCACACAGCACGCTCGCGCATTTTCTATTTCTTCACTAATGGTGCTCGTAATGATTAGATCTTGTAAAGTGCCACATATTTACAAAAATATWAATTGTTATTGCAGATAATTTTAGCGACAATCATGCCGTCAATCAACTGTTCTCTAAGTGGTCATCAAGATATCCTGATCCAAAGCTTCATCCAATCAGCGTCTGGGATGACATCATCACCAACAGGTTGGRTAACCTGTAATAACCCTTAGTTACCTCTAACCTCACTCAAGAGAGAGCTCATAAATCTATCAAATTTTATCGATACCCTGAAACAATCTCTAGGCTGATCAAAGACAGGGCATGGCTAACTCACAG